GAATTAGATTGCCCTGGAACGTGATGAACGTTCTGTAAGCCCGAGAAACAAGGAAGCCCATGAGGGTGGGGAATTCCCAAAGAACTGGTAAACAACAAAGCAGGTGTTTTGGATAAAGGTCATGGTTAATGACCTAACTCACGGAGTGTATAAGAGAGAGGAAAAAATAAACTTGGTTGTTCGGTCTTAGGAGCCCGGACGACTCTGTCTTTTTTCCTTTGAAGTGTGTTTTTTCTTTCATCCTCACCCCTCCTCTCAGGTACTGTTCGACTAGTGACGGCGGGTCCCGTCATTCCTCTCTGAGTGTCTTGCAGAATTGAGGAGTGAAACCATTAGGACCTCGGCTTTTTTTAGTTTGTAAGTTTTTAATTACATTTTTAATTGCATTGATTGATATTGGATTGTTTAGAATTTTTAGGTCTTCATTGTTCAACTTTGGTAATTGATACATATCTATGAATCTGTCCATTTCTTCTATGTTTTCCATTTTATTGGCAAATAGGTTCTTGAAGTAGGTATTGATGATCCTCTGGATTTCTGCTGGGTCTGTTGTAATTTCACCATTTTCCTTCCTATTTGCATGGATTTGGGCCTTTTCTTTCCTTTTTCTGATAAGGTTGGCTAAGGGTCTGTAAATTTTGTTTATTCTTTTGAAGAACCAACTCTTGTCTTCATTGATTTTTTTTTTATCATTCTCTTAGTCTCCACTGAATTGATTTCTGCTCTGATCTTTATAATTTCCACCCTTGTGTGAGCTTTAGATTTGCCCTGCTCTTCTTTTTCTAAAAGCTTGAGGTTCAGCATCAAGTTGTTTAATTGAGCTCACTCTTTTTCTAATATGAGTATTCACTGCTATGAATTTCTCTTGTAAGACTGCTTTCATTGTGTCCCGATATGTCATATAGTCATTGTCATTTAATTGAAGGAACTGTCTGATTTATTCTTTAATTTTATCTGTGACCCATTGGTTATTCAGACGTGTGTTGTTCAATTTCCATGTGTTTATGAAATTTTTGTGGTTTCTTTTGCTATTGATCTCCAATTTCATTGCACTGTGGTCTGATAATATATAGAGGATAACTTCAGTTCTTTTACACTTAACTAAATATGTTCTATGAGTAAGTATATGGTCTATTTTGGAGAATGACCCATGTGTAGCTGAAAAGAATGTGTATTCTGATTTTGTGGAGTGGAACACTCTGTAAACATCTGTTAAGTTCATTTGTTCAAGAATTTGATCGGGTTCTAGTATTTCATTGCTTATTTTTTGTCTAGTTTATCTATTTGTTTTGTTTTGTTTTTCTTTTTTGGTACTGGGGATTGAAGTCAGGTCCTTGCAGTTGTTGGGCAAGCTGAGGAACCACTGAGCTAAATCCCCAGCCTGATCTATCTACTTGTGACGGTGGGGTATTGAGGTCCCCCACTACTATTGTATTAGTGAATATATGGCTTTTAATGTCCATTAGTATTTGTTTTATGTAGTTGGGTGCACTGACATTTGGTGTATATATATATGATTTTCATCTCTTCCTCTTGGATTGTTCCCTTTATATGGATGTAGTGTCCTTCTTTGTCTCTCTTAATCAGTGTTGGTTTGAAATC